TACAATATTGATGGACCATGTGTGTGATGTCCACTCGTATGCTACATGACTATATTTCTCTCACGCACAGTCTCTCGTTGTCCAAGATATCCATTAGGACCTCCAAGTACGTGTTTTGAACACAAAAGTAGGGTTGGTACAGATTCAACCTTAACCAGGATAACTTATCATTGTGTGATAATAAATTTGATCTCATGTCAATTTTAGTGTTTAAAGATCGTGCTCCATCCATTTGGAGCCTCCCATGGTCAAAGGCAGTCACAGAAGTCTCGCATGCGCATTTCGAGCGAATTAGGGTTTTGACTGATGCATTCGCACGGTGGTCTGGGATGCCCATCGACACTAAAATATCTAATATGAAACCTCTAAAATGTTCATCTTTAAGCTAGAGGGCCACTTTTTAGTAACACATGGTTTCTCATATATTAGTCTCCGTAAATACCTTTCAATAGATGACCTTGCATAAAGTAAGGGTTTGGACCACTCCGGTTGTAGTTGAACTCTGTCGATGATCTTTTGTCTATCTACATACCATATGTTTATTCAGATTCCTTATGATCATGTTTCATTTATTTGGAGCATCCCATGGTCAGAGTCATCCATAAAACCTTTGCACGGATGTCAGGCACAAAATTAAGGTTTGCCTTCATTTTGTCGTGCTCGGAAAGGATCGCTATTAGTCATTGCTAATTTTGGTATGGAGAATGTTGGACATTCATTTTATGTTTAAGAGACTTTATTTTAATTATATATGTCTTCCCCAACCTCAAAGATTTCTAAAAAACCCTTCCGCAGACTTTTTTATGCAATGCAAGGTCTACCGGGCCAGACAGACCCCTAGGGGCCTGATTCAGGTGCCTAGGCGCCAAACCTAAGTGCCCAGGTGCTAGAGTGGTACTTCAGTACCCAGTACTAGCTCTTTGGCACCTTGACACTTTGTTCTTGCACCTAAGTTGTCCAAGAACTGTCAGGATCAATTTTTTTAAATTTTTAAGCCACATGGGAACAAGATTAAACATGGAGGGACCAATGATACCTTAAATTAAAGCCATGTGCATGTAAAAACAAGGGACTAATGGAGTCTTACATGGATAATATGCCAAAAATGTTATGAGGGGAGAGGACTCCTTTGATAAACCCTTGCCCAAAAATGACAAATGGGGCTTCCTTAAACCAAATAAATATGAAAAATCCATCCATATGCTGAGGGGTCCGAATTTTTTCAACTTGGCAAAGATTGTCTCGAGTGTGGATAGATTTTAGGAGAAAGAAGAGAAACTTCATCTCCTTCTCTTCTTCATCCTCAAATTCTTATTCACAATCTTCTTCCACTCAATTTTCGCTCCATCAATTTCTTGAGGAGAGTCTGGGAAAACTTTTGAAGGAGTTCCTTGAAGGAGGTCTTCATCTCTCATTTTGAAAAGGAAAGCTTCTTCATTCTCTGGAGAAAAGGTGGAGCCATCTTCATCGGCACAAGGGCGGAGCTCGGATCAAGCCCAGAGAATGCTCCCTTAAACCGTCACATAGGTGAGAACTTTGCAATTTCATTCTATCAAGCCTTCTTAGGTCTAGTTGTTAGAGATTTAAGCTCATGTTATGTGTTAGAGGAAACCTCTAGGTTGGATAGCCATTTTTGTTGATTTCCGCTACGAATCCTTGAGATTCCCATTAAAACCTTAGCACATTGACCTAATGGTCGTGATACTAGCAATCTCGTGATTGTTTGGCGACTTCACCCTTGATGAATGGGCTGAAGCCACTTGGATTTAGAGAACTAAAAATTTTCTTTGTTCCTTGTTCCCTAAATCACAAAGGCTATGTCCATAAGGTTTTCACTTGTGAAAAATTTCCTTCGCATTGTGTAGAATAATTAGAGGTAGGCATGTTGTGTAACAAATGATAGTTATGACTTTATTTTAATCCCAAAACCTATGCGACTGCTACCGGTCGAGTAAAACAATCACAACTAGAAGGCACTATCCGCCTCAGCTTTTAGTGAGGAGGATCTAAAAGAAAGAAATGAGGAAAATGACAAAGGATTCAAGCTCTCCCTAGACCTCGCCGAGGAGAATTGAGCCAATACACCACTTTAGCAAGAAGAAATAAAGTAAAGGACATATAAATATTTTAACAAAAATGTTTGCGAGGAAAAGTTTACCCCCAAAGACTTGGTACTGAAAAAGCCGACTCCGCTGCCAAGGGGTAGGCTATCAGGAAGCTGGATGAAACCTGGAATGACCCCTACATCATTCACAAGAGAGCTAGGCCCAAAACATACAAGCTAAAGACATTTGCAAGAAATGATGCCCCTCAAACTTGGAGCACGACGACCTAAAGAAGTTTTTTTAAAAATTGTCTTTTTCTTCGATGAAGCAATTTCATTATTTTGTACAACTCTTCCTTTTTCTTTCAGAAAGCCCATAATATAATGAAGGGATTTTTATGATACATTACATCTTAAAATATAAAGTTTTGCATATTCATTACCATTATGATGATATTTTTGTATTGCTTACTTTACGCTCGGGGAATCGACATAGTTACGCCCGAGGAACTAAAATAGTCATTTGTAGAAAACTAGCACTACGAGAGGTTAAAACTAATCATTGAACATAACTATCACCAGTGGCTTATGAGACGTATTGGACCCTGACAGTGAAAAGTTCTGCGAGGGGTGTACAAACAATCATCTTGCATCCAAATTATAAAGTTAGTACCTGACAACGTCAAGCTCCACCCGGGGTTTCTAACGATTGCCAGTAGCATAGGGGACGTATTGACACCCTACAACAACAAGCTCTGCGAGGGGTGTGTAAATGATCGTTATGAGCCCTCATTATAACGTTAAATATCCGGCCACGATAAGGTTTGCGGGGGGTGTATAACGATCATTGACGACCTATGGAACGTTTCGACACTCATCAACAACGACGACTCTGCGAGGGGTGCGTAAGCGATCATCCAGAGCCCTCATTATAAAGATAACACCCGACAGTGATAGGATCCATGAGGGGTGCATAAAAATCATATCCATACGCTCATCATTGACTCATAGCAAGTAAAAAATCATTTATATATTCAAAAAATTAAAACAAGAGAGAGAAGATTAAACAAAAAGAGTCCACTTATAAGTAGCAAACTTCTTTACAGTGAGGCAAAAGGAAACAAAAAAAAGAACAAAAAGGACCAATTCAATTTTAGACATTTGAAGACTCCCGGAGTCTGCCCCCTAGTTTCTTCTGCACCCTTGGCACCATCAGACTGTCGGTGTGCTAATTCGTCTCCACCTTTCGAGTCAAGAAGAAGCATGCCAAACTCTTCCATCTTTTGCCACTTGGGATCAACTAGCATATGCTTGAAAAACCTTGTGATCGCAAAGGAGGTAGCGACTATAGTCCCAAGTGAAAGACTCTCGACTTATGCCTCTTGAGTAATCATCGAAGACATATTTTCTTTTAGTTCCTTGCTCTCCTTCAGCAGAGTCGACACCTGAATCTCTTGCTGTTGAGCATCGAGCTGCCTCTTCTCGACAGAAAGTTTCAACCTCTTTTCCAGCATGGAAACTTTCTGTTCATCTTTCGAATTCACAAAATGAATCTCCCAGCCTCTTCCTCGAATATATCCAAGAGAAGGCCCTAGAAATGCAAAACCTCCCTGGTAAGTGCATGATATCGATCAACTGCTTGAAACATGTCTCTTCTATCCATCGACCTTAAAGTCTTCTTGAAGGCAACAAACCAAAACATATCCATCAAAATCGAGGGGTAATATCCATTCAAATGAGTGTTTAGGAACCACTCGATCTCCCTGTCAATGAGAGCGTAGTGTCCAGTCGTCCAAACTTCGGATCCTCGATCATGTGAGAATGTCCACTCAGACAGAACCACCCCCTTTTCATAGAAGGAGAGGGCAAGCCTGTATTAAAGGCAAGAGCTTCTTCTTTCCTCTGGGGAACAACGCTCCCCATCCACTCCGTTGCCCCTTGCTCCTCCTCATAATCGATTCCAACGAAGATAGGGTGGGTGGCACAGCATGCCTCACCTCGCTTTTGCAATGCTATAAACGAGGTCTCCCCAGTTGCTACCGAGACTCCTGCAACCCATAGATGAGCTAACAAACCACTAGAATCACTAGGTGATTGCTAAGATTCCCCCTCACTTCCCTCCGAAGAATCTAGCAAATTACACAAGAGTTACATATGATGTTTAAATACAAACAAGTAAGAAAATAGGTACCAACCTTCAACATCCCCCTCGACTAACCTAACCAAGTTTGGCCGATCCCTACCTCTGCCAAGTGAAGAAGGGCCGCTTCTCCCCCGAGGCTGCTTTGAGGCTGCCCTCGCACCGGTAGCCTTCTCCTGAGCAACCCCCCTATTATCGGTTGACCTCCACAAATCCTCAGTCATGGTATCAACACCATCCATACAAATCATACACTTAGTCACTTCAAAGGCAAGGTATTAAAATAAAAAAAGGCGTTGACCCTCAATCAACGCATCATGATCTTAAACATTCCCAGGTAAGGTTTTCACCTTATTTACCTCACATTCTGTCAGAAAGTAAGAATTCCCCTATTGCTCGCACATGAAGCCACCAATATCTGTCTTCCAATCCTTGACCTTATTCTCAAGGCCCAAAAGTTGCAATATAGGAACTGCTACAAATTGGATGTAGCCATCACGACCGATCCTAAAAGAAAAAAATTGTTGAAGAGTTCAATCGACCATGAGATTTTCATCATTCAACAAAAAAGTACGTAAGTCATAATGACAATGATCGAATCTGATCCCATTCCTATAAATAATGGACATATATGATATGTAATTTTATAGAATTGGACCCATTCTTATAAATAGGAGATCAATGCCATGAATAAATATTGCTCCTCTACTACCCTCTTTCTATAATATTCTAAGGCATGTTTTCAAGATAATTTGTGATTTAACAGTCATATAAATACATAAGAATTGTGTCCCAGTTATGTAAACTTTACCAAATTTTAGATCATAAATTAATGTGACCTAGTTTTCTAAATTACTTGGAATCTTGGGTCGAACAATTTTTTTTAGAATCGATTTGCTGTGTGCCCATCGGCAGACATGGAGGGCCACTCCGGCGCCACCGTACGCTCTCGAACTTCTCAATCTCCATCTCCGTCGCACTCTGCTTCGGCCTCCGCGTCCAGTTCCGTTCATCACAAGCGAAAGTTTCAGGCGACGACGGCAGCAGCTGCTCCTTTCTCCCTCTCCGACACCGGTGCCCTCACGTCCAATGACGACCTGGATAGCATCAGCGCGAGGGAAGAGGAGGAGGATGAAACCGACGAGGAGGACGAAGATGATGACGAAGACGAGGAGGAAGATGAGGAGGACAACGACTCCATGAGGGTGTTTACCGCCGCTCGTCTAGATGCTCACAACAGCGCCGGCGGTGTTGGGAACTCCCGGAGTAGCTCCAAGCCGCCGAAGCCTGATGGCTTACAGGTGAAGGTTGACTCTGCCTCTGTTGGTGCGGGGTTGGAGAGTGGGGTTAAGGAAGAGCGCGGGGCAACGGGATTGTCAGCCCAGCAGAACGCTGGCAACGCCAGTTTGATACCGGGAATTGTTGTGAAGGATGATTCCGTGAATGGGATCTTCACGGAGAATATACAGACAAGCGGTGCTTACAGTGCCAGAGAGGAGGGGCTCAAGAGAGAGGTGCAAATTTATTTGCTTGCTAGTTTTTTTATAATTATGCTTTCTGCTTTTCCGAATCAGGAGGGTGCTTCTCTCGTTTATTGCATCTGAATTATATTGGCTAGAGTTCATTAATTATCACTATGTGGCTGGAAGCAAGGGTTTCTGTGTGATCTTATGTGTTTGATTAGGGTTTGATTATTTGATTTCAGTGGTACTAGTGGAGTATGATTTCGTATGTTTTTTGGAAATTCATGATTACCAATCCAAATGCAGTTGTACCATGTCTTAGCTTTCTAGTTTGATCATGTCTTAGTTTTCTAAGTTTGAGGTCTCCTATTATTATTTGCATGGCTGTTAGTTATGCACTTCATTTTCCTTATCTAACGAGAGTTTCATCATATCAATATCTTCCCATAATTTGCTATGGGTTTATTTATTTATTTTTCATGCTACACCTTGAATAATAGCCTATTAACACCATAAATCATTTTGCTCCAAACACTTGATCTCTACTTAATTGTGAACTTAAAATAAGTGATTGTTAGCTTACTGCAAAGAGGATTATTTATTGAAATAAACCAATTTTTGAATATCATGATTGATTTCTCACATTATACTCGAGTAGTCAGAAAAGCTCGTTGTTTGCGAACATCTCGTTTTTGGCTCATGTTTGGATTGTTCGTTAAGTAAACGAGCTGAACATGAACAAAAGTCTAAAGCTCGAATTATAAACGAGCCAAACAAGCACAACCATTTGTTCGATCATGTTGATTAAAAAAATTATATATATTATTTATATAATAAAAATATATATGTATATCAGTTGCTACC